AGAATCACAACATCAATATCTTCCAAAATGCCCACGGAGAATAAGACTTCTCTCCCTTATTATGTAATCTCTGACTTTTTTTTTTTAGGCTGAAAGTTAAAGGACCAATTCGTAATGTTTTCAAAATGATTTTGTTACAAAAATAAAAGTGAGATTGTTTTAAAAATCATTCTGCGACCGATTTTAAAATTATATTTGGTTAGTCTTTTAAGAGATTATTTTGAGAATAGTAAAAAAATAAAATAGTGTTTGGTTATATTTATGAAATTTTGTTTCAAGTACATGCAATTAATAATGTTAAATTAATATATTAAGCACATAAAAATTTATATATCAATAATACAATAATAATGAATATATTATAAATAATGAGTACATGGGTAATTAAAATATAGATTATGAATTAGTATGCTAAATAATTAAAAAAATAGTAATTAATAATTAGTTATAAGTAATTACTATGTTAATAACGTACTCATATTTATTAGTTTATAAGTAATTAATAAGTGTACTAAGAAAAAATAATTAGTATATAAATAATATATTAATATTCAATTTACTATTTAAATAATTAAATTTTAGTACATAATTAAATAATTATTTAATTAGTTACTAACTTTTATGTAATAATCTATTATTTGATATATTGAATGACCAATTTTTGATAATTATTATTTAAATAATGATGAATTGCTAATTGTCAATTATTAATTACTATTGATTAGTATAATTACAATTTATTATATAATTTAATATTGATTATCAATTGAGTAATTACTACTTTTTTATTATCAACTATTTACTAATTAATAGATTATAATTAATATATATGATTGATATATTAATTATTATTTATTTAAAAATCTATTATTAATTATTCTATTATTAATATATTTTATAATCAATTTTTGACAATTAATCTTTAACTAAATAATTAATATTTATTATTTGTCATTTTTATTAATAAAATTACAAATTTAATAATAATAATTTAATATTAATTAATAATTATGTAATTACTATCTCTTTATTAGTTATAGTCATATCTATTTATTAATTATTAATTTATATACTATATAATTTGTAATTAATAATTTAATAATTTAATGTAACATTGTTGGTAAGTACTAGAAAATGAAAACAGAAAAGGAAAAACTACTTCTAATCGTTTTCTAACTTCCTTCACAAAAACCATTTTTCATTATTTTTTGTTTTCCTTTTCGTTTTCAATACATTTGTTATACAAATGCGGCTTGTAAGCCGTGTTCATTTTCGTGCCTCAAAAGATGTGCATAAACATTTTCAAAAACAACTAAAAAAAGTACCAAATGCACCGTAAAAGTCATAGTAAAATTTAGCAGTGAAGAAAAATGGCAGTCTTGTAAATAAGTGTTAAAAGAATGACTTGTTATTAAGTTTGTTTGTTTTAAAAGTAAAGATGATACATGTCAAAAATTTTAGTTAACATATGTAATAAAGTCTGTATTAGTATTCCTATTGGAATGGTGTGAAAGCTATGAAGTCTTATAAATCTTAAATAAAATAGGAAATTGTACGGTTTCTATTTAGTCTCCTAATTAGATAAAAGTTGAGCTGTAACTGAACACACTACAAAAATAATCACTTTAAGAGACCAAACTTTTTGATACTAAAAAATTTTTGGTAGCAGAAAACACACTTTTTGCTACCAAACTTTGGTAGCTGAAAGTATCAAGGCTTTAGTTATCAAATTTGGTAGCAAAAACAACACAATCCGCTACCAAATATAATTTGGTAACAAATAACATGGCGGGAAATAAATTTTGGTTCCCGCCAAGAGCTTTTTTGCTACCAAAATAATATTACGCATAAGATTCTGCTACCAAAAATTTGGTAGCAAAATATGACTTTTTTGCTACCAAATATGTTTTGGTAACAAAAAGTTGGCGGGAAGCAAAATTTTTTCCCGCCCGAGGTATTTGCTACCGAATTATTTTTAGAAGCAAAACATATAACATTTGCTATCAAGAATTTGGTAGCAGAATCATGTTTTCTGCCACCAAAATTTGGTAGCGAAAAATCAAGTTTTTGCTACCAAAAAACATAATTTTTTGCTACCAAATTTTGGTAGCAAAAAACATGATTCTGCTACCAAAAACTTAATTTTTTGACAAAAAGGCGTTTTTTTGCTACCAAAAGTTGTGTTTGATGACAAAAAGGCGTTTTTTTGCTACCAAAAGTTGTGTTTGGTAGCAAATCATATAAAACATTAATATTTATATTTTGTGCTTGTATTGCTTTTTTTTTTTTCAATTTTCTATGAATATGTCCTATATTAAGTTTTAACAGTCATCCTAGTATATTTTGTATAACAATAATTTGATAATTTAGTTATTTTGTGTAGGTGTAACAAGAGACATGTTCATGTCTACACATATGTGATCTTGTTAATTAAGTATATGTTCCACATAGAGTAGTATATAATCTCACAATTTGATTGATTTTTAACTTTGAATAATGTATTTCAATTTTAAAACTACATTTTTTGTTATATTATTAGAACAATGATTCTTAAATAATTTTTGACATTAAAACGTTATTTTTGTAATGTTTAATATACATCTTTTTGGTACCAAATTCATATTTGGTAGCAAAAATATTATTTCAGCTACCAAAACAATGATTGGTAACAAAAAATATAAGTTTCTGGTACCAAATTTTGGTAGTAGAAAACATGATTCTGATACCAAATTCTTATTTTTGTGACAAAAAGGCGTTTTTTGCTACCAAAAGTTGTGTTTGGTAGCAAATCATATAAAAACATTAATATTTATATTTTGTGCTTGTATTGCTTGTTTTTTTCAATTTTCTATGAATATATCCTATATTAAGTTTTAAAAATCGGCCTAGTATATTTTGTATAACAATTATTTGATAATTTAGTTATTTTGTGTAGGTGTAAGAAGAGACATATTCATGTGTACACATATGTGATCTTGTTAATTAAGTATATGTTTCACATAGAGTAGTATATAATCTCATTATTTGATTGATTTTTAACTTTGAATAATGTATTTCAATTTCAAAACTACATTTTTTGTTATAATGTTATTAGAACAATGATTCTTAAATAATTTTTGTCATCAAAAAGTGTTTTTTTATTTGTTTAATATACGTCTTTCTGGTACCAAATTCATATTTGGTAGCAAAAAATATGCTTTCAGCTACCAAAATAATATTTGGTAACAAAAAAACATAAGTTTCTGGTACCAAATTTTGGTAGCAGAAAATATGATTTTGCTACCAAATTCTTATTTTGGTGACAAAAGGGCATTTTTTGCTACCAAAAGTTGTGTTTGGTAGCAAATCATATAAAAACTTTAAAACTTACATTTTATGCATGTATTGTTTTTTTTTTCCATAAATATGTCATATATTAAGTTTTAATTATCATCATAATATATATTGTATAACAATTATTTGATAATTTAATTATTTTATGTAGATGTAGCAAGAGACATGTTCATATGTATATATATGTCATATTGTTAACTAAGTATATGTTCCACGTAGAGTAATATATAATCTTACTATTTGATTATTTTTTTAACATGAAATAATATATTTCAATTTCAAAACTATATTTTTTGTTATAATATTACTAGAACAATGAGTCTAAAATAATATTTGTAATCAAAAAGTATTTTTTTAATTTTTTAATATATGTCTTTCTGCTACTAAATTAAATTTTAATAGTAAAAAATATACTTTCAACTACCAAAACAATGTTTGGTAACAGAAAATATAATTTTATAGTACCAAATTTCAGTAGCAGAAAATATGATTATGCTACCAAATACATATTTTGGTGACAAAAAAAATTTTTTTTTTTGCTACCAAAAGAACCAAAACATTTTTTTTGGTAAAAAAAAAATAACAAAATTTTTGCGGGAAAATTTTAACCCTAAAAATTAAACACACCCACACACGCATCAGTTTGATTAAAGGGAGAAAGAGAAAAATAGGTCAAGACTTGAGATGAATTAAAATTAATAGGCCAATAGTTTACACAAGTTAATAAATATGCCAAATTACTGTTTTGTCTATAACTTGTCTGGTTATGAACCATAACTTGACAAGTTATTCACAATTTTTGTCCATAACTTGTCTGGCTATGGACCATAACTTAACAAGTTTGTCCATAATTTATCTGGTTATGAACTATAACTTGACAAGTTATGGCCTATTAATTTCTATAACTAAAAATTGACCTATATACTTTCTTAAACTTTTCATATTGGCCTATTTTCTACTATTTCCGTTGATTAAAGGGAGAAAGAGGAAAATATGTCAAGATTTGAGATGAATTAAAATTAATAGGCCAATAGTTTACATAAGTTAATAAATAGGTCAAATTACTGTTTTCGTCCATAACTTGTCTGGTTATGAACCATAACTTGATAAGTTATTGACCATAATTCACAGTTTTTATCCATAATTTGTCTGGCTATGATCCATAACTTGACAGGTTTATCCATAACTTATCTAGTTATAATCATAACTTGATAAATTATGACCTATTAATTTTTATAACTAAAAATTGACCTATATACTTTCTTAAGCTTTTCATATTGTCATATTTTCTACTATTTCCTTGATTAAAACACAAAAAGCCCTTCTTCCCTTCTTCAGAAACTCGTCGTCGCCCTTCTGAAGAAGCCCTTCTTCCCCTTCTTCGGAAACTCTTCGCCATCTTCGCATTTTCTTTAGAAATTCATCCGCCCTTCTTCCTCTCTCTCGCTCCTTCTCTCCCTAGCCGCTAATTCTCGGCGTCATAGGCTCCGATTCCCGCTTCCACCGCCTTCAATTGTCGCTGTCGATTGTCGCCGTCGCCGATTCTCGTCGTTGCCGTCGCATCTATAGCTGCACTCCTCTTTCCTTGCAGAAATTCCTCAATCCTCCCAACGTAGTATATCAAGTTTGCTCTGTATTTATTCTTGGTTTCTGTTAAAGATATGTTGTGTTCTTGGTACACCAGACATGACTGCTTTCCCCGACGGGGTAAATACATCCCGATTATGTGGGATTACAAGTTATGAGAAGGTAAACTATCATATCAGTTGGTATTTTATTTGCGGTTTGTCCATGCGGTTCAGAGTTAATTTCATTCTTTTGGTAGATATTGCCTGCGAACCTGTCTGATATCATTCCCAATGCAAGCCCAGAAGCTATTGATTTAATCAGGGTGGGTTGTGTTTTTGCAGTGCCTTCTGCCAATAATTCTTATAAACATTTGTTGTCCACCCTTCTAACCAAATTGATTGTTTTTACAATTCTTTTTTGATGGTCTACAGCGACTTTGTTCATGGGATCCATCAAGGAGTCATTACAGCATCCTTTCTTCCATGTAATGTGTTTTCAACTCTGGTTTCTGCTATGTTATGAACTAGCTTAGTTTACTAATGTGTTCTTCACAGGCGGGTTGGATTCCTCGTTTACTCTGTGATCCACTTGAGCTAAAGCTGAGTAATATGGGTAAAGGTTCTTCTTAAATAAGCCTTCTTGTAATTGATATCTCCTTTGGAGAATTGCATCGATATGTAAATTCCCTAAATATACATACATATATATATATATATATGTATGTATGTATTTATAAATATTTAGCCTTCTTCTGTTGATTGCTACAAGTATCTTTATTTTGTGAATGAACTTATCGGATAATAATGGATAATTAATAAAATATTACTTCATAATTAGTTAAATAGCAAAACGCGTTTCCTATTATACCTCTAACTGAATTGGGAAACCAGGCTCCCTTGCTTATAAAGAGAGTGTAGCATATCGGTATCTGTCCCCATATATAGGTATTTTCACTCTTCATACGGTTGGATATCAAATCAGATTAATTTACATCGAAGGTTCCAAATTTTCAATTTTCCACATGGATCCCGGTATGTTTATAACTCTTCCTTTATATTTTCTAAGAGCGATTATTATCCCAGTATGATTCATATTCTTTTCTTCTCTTTTTGTGTGACCAAGTTAATGAATTAATCACTGACGGCTCTTTCGTTCAATATAAAATTCGTCTACTTTTCTCCCCATTTTTGTGTATCCTGTAAAATCTCGATCTTTTCGAAATAATGAATTTTTTTTTTAATTAATTACTTGTTGGATTGTGGACGAGTTTATTATATAGCTCATGTATGAATGTTGTTAAATAATAAAGATATAAATAAATGTCTTTTTATTGTGTGCTTCTTTTGCTAAAATATTAATTCTTCGAATATTATCTTATATAACGTCATTAAAAACCTTGCATGAACATTTCTATTATTTATCACAATACAGTATATTACCTTTCACGTACTGCTTGCCTTCTTGATGTATATATGTATAAGTCATATTATAATTTTTCTCTATACGATAATGTTTATGTAGCGACCCTCATTTGAGGCCGCCACTGTAACTAACTTTTTAACTTGTACTTACTGAAATTTCTTAAAATTTACGGAACATTTTTTTTTTTTTTTAAGGGTCTTATTATAAACATAAATTACGAAATTGCTTTCTTAATTAAAATATTCAAACCTTAACATATCTGTTTCATAATCATAATTAACAAAACTATTTGTAACATAAAGCTTATTGCGGAAATATTTGCGAGTGGTATCCATATCCCGAGCTCCACATCGTTCGTCCACTCGCCAGCAGTCCATCAGGCATTATATGCCGGTTGCTTACCTACAGTATAAACATTCTATAATGAGCTTTCGCTCAGCAAGTAGGAACTATCTCCCGCAAAACAACTGTAAGTTCACATGAATAAATATGCATGAGCCAATTATGCTTAATTATGATGTCTTATCAGAATCTTATTATCTTATCTTATCTTTCTTACTGATGGGCCCGAGTGCTCGTACCACTTGCGCGCAATCATCGGGACGTGAGGGTTTGCAAGGTCCCCCATGACACCGTGATTATAACTTGAATGCCTCCCTTGAGTCGGAGGACATCATTATTATTATTTTTTTCTCCCTTGTGGAGCTTGAGTTACCTCCCTTGTGGAGGCTGGTACGGCACTCAACTGAGATTACTCTTATAAGTTCCTCTTGACTTATTAAGGTGTATGCAATATGACCTAGCATAGCATACTATATCATGTACTCGAACACATATAATTCGGGTGTACTGCCTAAGTGTATGTAGTATAACATAGCATAGCATTCATAACATTAAATGTACTCAAACATATATAGTTCATGTGTACTGTTTACTTTAAAATCTATTTATACTGTAGGCGAGATTCCTACTTACTTGATTTTCAAAGCTGGAATCCCTTTTTCGCCTATCAGCCTAGTCTCTTGCTTTCTTCTGAAAATGAACACCCATTAAGAGTGTGAGATTAACTGTTATTTGCTATTTTATTTTAGCAACTTATGAAGGAAAATCTAACCATT